TGTAATAAATTTCTAATTAATTTCCATTAAAAAAGAATTAATTCATTAAAAAAATGTATAACAAATGATTTTATAAACAAAAGCTAATAAACAGTAAGGGAAATATAATGCAAGATAAAATAATATAAATATCTATAAAATCCTTTTGTTTAATTATTATCATATATAGTAATATTTAATAGCCCGATAATATTTATTAGTATGTTGAACGCTTTAAAGATTAATAATTATTTTCAGTAATAATTAATCAGTATAAAATATGATATGACATTTAGCATTTATTTATATTGCATGATTTCCTGATGTTATAATGATAATCTTGTGTGATCACATAGAAAATATATTTTACAAAAAAAAAATACATACTTCATCAATTAGATTTACACAGTACATATATTTGATTCGTAAATGTATATACCTTTTTCTTCATCAAATTAAATATATTTTTTTCTACGGATTTCTTGTTATGCTTTTTGTAGTTATGAAAACGTATTTCTTTATTAGACAAATGCGTTCCAAGTAGAATTTAATACATGATATATCAAAGGATACACAACATGCAAGTAATTTTTCTTTTATAAGAAAAGAATAATTCATATTCTCTGAAGTACATTTCATATTCTTTGAAAGAATTCAAGTATGTTAGCGTGCAGAATAAAGTCAATCTTTCAAATCTCATTGAAATTTAATTTATAAAAGCAGCGATAATAAATTTATGGTAATAACATATTATATGATAATTATAATCAGCTTATGATTATCTATGATTATCGATTACAGTTTACATTAATAAGCGTCGTAATAAAAACAAATTCACGTACTATTTTTGTAAATAAAAAAGTATAATGTATGAAACATTTTTAATGGAATATAATATTGTATTACATATTACATAATGTAAAAAGAATTTTTTTGTATATAAATATTGACGTTGTTTTCGTAATATGTATAATTTGTAAAAGCACAAAAAAAACGTCATAATATAAATATATACGAAAATATCGCAATAATTTCTCTCTTGCGACACAGTAAATTGGCGTATGCCACGAAGAGGCGGGAATTTGTACATCACTTTGATGCGCAGAAGCCAGAATACTGAATGCATGAGCTTTATCAGGAATGGATGCGTCGAACATTCAGCAGAAATAGTTGAGACGGCACTCGAATATATTCTCGAAAAGTATTACTGAATGTCGAAAACCAAGTGCGTCTAATATTAAATTTAAATTATTCTCATAATTATTACACTCATAACTTGTTGCTTCCCGTTTGAAATAAAAAAAGCGAAACGTGTTGCCGCTATTAATGTGATTAATATTAATGTGCCCGATCTACTATAAGATCTAATTAATCTACGTTTGTCGACAAATTGCGCTATTAAAATTAAGTGTCACGCAACTATCTTAAACGAGAAACTCATTAAACAATTTCAAAGAGCGGCCGACGAAAGGATTATGCATCGTGTCTCACGTCGGCACTGCACATGTCGTGCCAACTAAGTGTCGGAAAGACGCATCATATATTTACAAACCGTTTAGAATATTGGTGTGTGACCTGTATATGAATTGAATCATTCAAGTGTTGTAAAACCGCGGTTAAAAGGAACTCTTGCAAAGTCACAAAATCGTCTACAGAATCCAGATGGCCCAATAAATATTACGTTGCGTTTGCACGTTTTATGAGTTAAACGTGTTGCTCCATTTATTGAACTTCAATAAATAGGTATGTATTAATTATAAGGATGTTTAGCGAGTTTTTTATAATTTTAATTAAGATAAGAAAAAATTAAAAACCGTTTACATTTATAAAAAAATATAAAATATAAATAAAGAACAGAGAAATATTTATCTCTTCCCTCTCTTAACAATTTTTACATCGTATAATATTGTAATGTCTTTTATATTTTTACTTAATTATTTTTTCTATAATTATTTGAATATGAGAGAAAGACAGTATATTAACATTTTGTGAAGAGATTTTTTTCTATTATAGAAAAATGTTATAAATTATTAAAATAAAATGTTATAAATTATAATCTTGGCCATAAGCATAAAACATCTTCACAAATTAATGTTCTATATTTAACAAAAAATAAATTAGAAACAGTTTTATTAAAAAATAAAAAATAGAGATATTCGTCTACTTACAACCGGATCCGAGATTTTAATTGTAAGTCGAATTGA